TGTAACGTCACAGCATTTTTTGCACTAATATTATTATAATCACAAACATACCTGTACCCATATTGCCACTAATGAGCGTATCTTATTTATATATTGTATGATTATCGCGCGCTAATGCAGAAATGACCGCAGTATTAGGTAATAATTGTTCCCCGGCCCCCACAAACCCGCAGTGTACGGTGTCCACAAGTCGCCACACACGGCCGCCGTTGCTGTCGGCGCTTTTGTCGCGTCCGGCGGCACCGCACCGGCAGAACAGTTCTGAACACCCCGAAATTATTGTGTCATCCCACGAAACGACTACACTGACCTGCCCCACTCAACACRAAAAGCTCCGCCGCCGGCAACTGGACACCACCGTCGCCGGGTCACCGCTCAACCAAAATCATTCTGTTTTTACCTACGCTTGGCCTGGCCGGTAKTTCGTTCAATAATTGCTGTCCACCTGCTTTTCGACAACAATAACTCGACACCCATTTATTGGCAACGACGACGAACAAGTCACGCGACAACCGACTTCAGAAAAAACACTCCAACTGCCGTCACCATTTTCGACTCATGCAATCAACTACCATGATGGGCTAAAGGAACTCACGTGGGCCCGGGCGGCGGCCGACAGCTCCGACCTACAACAACTACCATGCAGTCACCTCATAAAAAAGTCGTAATATGTTTTTATTTCCCCGTTCCCCCTTTACCAGCMCGCTTTTCCGGTAACCCTGCGAGGACACACCATGAGTGATATGGTGTGTCGCCTCCTGCGGGCCGGGAAAGCATGCGACGACGTAAATTTGTTCAACGTAAACAAACGCCATGTCCTGGTTTCTCTGCCAATATAATTAAAATTGTTAATATTATTCTGTATTTGCCATGTGCCAAAATTATGTTCTATTTCGCATTTGCCATGCGCCCAATTTATTATATTCATAAAAAAAAAACACATCATATTATAGCTATTATATCTTTCCTCTTATTATTATTTATAAATTGTAATATTAAATATGATCCTGATAATACCAATTTAATATACCCACGTGATTACTCGAACACAACTCTTATTATTTTTTAACATTATTTTCCCCTTTAATTAAATCCTCGGCATTCATTTGCCGTTGCGTGTGCAAAACCTGTGAGCTCCACCGACTTGGCCCTCGGGTCATCACGCGGTGCGGCTCACAGGTCGCGACAAAAGTGTTCCCCTTTTGTCGTGGGTGGTTTACGGAGCCCTAAAAAGCTCCGTATTCTCTCATATGGCGACCGTGACAGGACTCATGTCCAAATTCCCTTTTGTAACTAATAATATTTTTTTCTTTTTTTTTTCTCTATAAAATCACTCGTATAATTAAAATCCACGCCCTCAAAATTTAAAATATTAAAATCTTTTCTTTCTATGGCAAAAATAACGTTAGGGCTAAAAACATAAATTTTTCTTCTGGCAAGCACATGGCAAAAATAAATTATCCATTTTCATCCTTAAAACTGTTCATGTCCCAACATTAATAACTTATAAAATCAAACCACCCAAACTCCCTACTCGTGCTACTTCCAAAAAAAAAAAAAAAAACCCCATATTTTATTAGCTTAAATTATTTAAAATATGGCTAAAAATTATTCTCTTGCAAGAGACCCGTTCATTATTGCTATATGCTATCCGAACCAGGATGCAGCTTCGTCACTCTGCCAAGATGCCATTTGAGTGGTGGTTGATTGTCCTCAATKACTAGTACCAGGTCGCCAATCTTTATGGAAAGTTTGTCAGCAGTGGTCCAACGCATTCGGGGTTGGAGAGATCTGAGATATTCTGATGACCACCGTCGCCAAAACCCTTGAGTCATACCTTGGACTAGTTGCCATCTTTTTAAATAATTCACGGGTCGTTCTGGTTGTTGAGGTTCAGGAGGTAGAGTTAGACAACCACCTACTAAAAAATGAGCAGGTGTCAGGAACGCAAAACTTTCTGGATCACTAGATTGTGCTGTTAGTGGCCTACTGTTCAAGCACGCTTCAACTTGACATAGCATGGTGGTTAGTTCTTCGAAGTTAAGTTTGGCTGACCCTGTGATGCGTAGAAGATGGTGTTTGGTTGACTTAACTGCAGCCTCCCATAGTCCGCCCATATKTGGTGCACTGGGTGGATTAAAGTGCCACTGAKTACCATCAGTTGCTAGGGACTCAATTACAGTTTTATTGTTGCTGCAGTGCTCTTTGTAATAGCGTTTCAATTCTGCCCTGGCTCCATGGAAATTGGTTCCGTTGTCAGAGTATATATGAGCGCTTTGACCTCGTCGAGCAAAAAATCTACGTAAAGCAGCCAAAAAGGCTTGTGCTGAGAGATTACTCACAGCCTMTAGGTGAATCGCACGCGTGCTGAAGCACACAAATACTGCAATGTAAGCTTTGGTTACTSTTCGATTTCTTGGACCAGAATATAACTGTATTGGAYCAGCAAAGTCTACTCCTGTTGCTGTGAAAGGTCTGCTGGGTGTTACCCTTAGCCGAGGTAGTTCACCCATGCTGGACTGAAACGATTTTGGGTTTGCACGATAACAAATCTGACAACAATGAACAATGCGCCGAGCAGTTCTCGTAGCATCAAGTGGCCAAAACTCTTGGCGAACTCTTGTCAAGAGGTTTTGGGGACCTGCATGCAGATATTTTATATGATATTCTGTGAAGATTAGTTCAGTCACTGTGTGCTTCTTTGGTAATACTGATGGATGACGTTGATTGATGGGTAAGTGAGATCGTTGCAACCGTCCTCCMACTCTGATTACACCTTCTTCCAGAAACGGACTTAATGTAATGAGTTTACTGTGTGAGGATAAAGATTTGCCTAGTCTAAGTGACTTGATTTCATCGTTGAATGCATCTGTTTGAGCAATATTAATCCATACATCTCTGGCATTCTTTAATTCCTTTACTGACAGTGGACCAATGTATCTCTCTTGACATTTATGAAGTGTATTGTGCATAAACCTTTTTAGATATGCCGTAATGCGAATTAAATTTGTCCAACTTGAGTATTTTGCCAGAATACTGTTTTCCCGAGTTTGGACCAAAAGCGCAAACTGAACTGGACGTTTTTCAAGGATTTCACTAGATGGTGTGAAAGAACATTCTGTTGGCCATTCAGCTTCTGGCTGCTGGAGAAAGGTTGGACCATGCCACMAGAGATTTGAGTGTAATAGCTCTTGTACCTTTACTCCTCGAGACGTTAGATCTGCAGGATTCAACTTTGTTCTCACATGTTGCCAAATCATTTCTTCTGTCAATGTCTGAATCTCAGATACACGATTTGCTACAAAGGTGTTCCATTGACTTGAGATTCCCCGGATCCATGTTAATGCTACTGATGAATCTGTCCAACATGTGCAAGATGTTGGGCTTACATTCAGTGTCTTTCTTGCCTTAGACATTAACGTTACCAACACATAGGCACTACATAATTCCAATCTTGGAATTGACAATACCTTTAGAGGTGCTACTCGAGCCCTTGCTATCAGAAGATGACACGTGAATGTATTGTCTGGTTGCCATTGTCTTACATAAATGCATGCTCCATATGCGTTCATGGAGGCGTCACAGAACCCATRCAGTTCAAATTTGTTGTACGGATGATCTTTCACCTTGCGCAGTACCTTGAGCTGGTCAATCTGACTAAGTTCATGAGTGTAATTATGCCAACGTTGAGACATGTCAACTGGAAGTACAGTGTCCCAATCCAGTTTAAGTTGCCACAATTGCTGAATGAATATTTTACCACTAATTAAAACCGGTGCTAGAAATCCCAACGGATCAAAGACACGATTTAAGTCTGCGAGTAATGTGCGTTTGGTGAATAAATGTTCTTTTACATGAGGTGACACCTTAAAAAGAAGTTGATCACTTCTTGGGTTCCATACTAGTCCAAGTGTTTTTGGTGGTATCAGTGTCATTTAACTCAAGCATGACATGAGGATCGTCGTTTGCAAYTGCTATCCCAGCGATTAGATGTGAACTATTTGCACACCACTTTCGAAGAGTCATTCCTGCTGACTGGAGTATCATGGTGACCTTTCTTTGGATTTCTTGACAATTCTCAATTGTGTGAGAACCTGTTATCAGGTCATCAACATAGAAATCTTGTTTAATTACTTGAGCAGCCTGTGGATGTTCTGCTTCGCTTATCCTTGCAAGTTCTTGTAAACACSGAGTAGCTTGGAATGGAGCAGATGTGGTTCCATAAGTTACTGTGTTGAGTTGAAAATGTAGCAATTCCTTTTCCGGTGAGTCTCTCCATAGTATTCTTTGGTARGTCCTATGTTCTGGGTCAATTAATATCTGTCGGTACATTTTCTCAATGGCTGCAGTCATGACAAACTTATGCATTCTAAACCGTAATAATATTGACACCAAATCATCTTGGACAACTCCACCATTCATCAACACATCATTTAGAGATTTACCACTGGTGGTCTTGGCAGATGCATCAAAGACAACTCTTGTTTTTGTTGTGAGGCTCTCTGCTCTCAGCACTGCATGATGTGGGAGATAATAACAGTTGGTATGTACTGCATCAACATTTTTAATTTGTGACATATGCCCTAATGCTTCATATTCCTGTAAAAATGTGATATAACTTGAACGTAACTCATCGTTTTGCGACATCGCTTTTCCAAAATAAAGAAACGTCGACGAGCCATTTCATATGAAGATCCTAGAACTGAGATGTCCTTGATAGGAAGCTTGAGACTGAAACGGCCTTCTTCATTTCGAGTATACGTGGACTTGAAATGCTCTTCGCATTCAACTGCTTCATTGCACAGGGTCGAAGATTTGTCATCATTATAGATTGATGCCAGTAAACACATTGATGGTACCGGGTTTTGTGCTTGGTTTACCTTCCCAGATACTATCCACCCGAGCTTGGTGTTGCGAATAGTAACTGACTGATTGTTCACCTTACATTGTTCATTGCCAAGCAMGTCAAAAAACAGTTCTGCTCCCAGCAATAGGTCAATGTTACTAGGTTTATAAAAWTCAGGATCTGCTAGGTTGTTTTGAACATGCTCAGGCAATTGCCATTGAAATACATTAACATATACCGCAGGGAGTTGATGTGTAATTACTCCGATGATGGACATTTCTACCTTTTTTGAGTAGTTGGAATTCAGTGAATGCAATTTTCCATGTACCCAGTTTGAAGT